TGTCAGATCCAATTAAAACAGAGAGTATCATATGTCATTAAGAATATTGTTAATGTCTTTTTGTTTATAATATAGTTAGCTACTAGAATTGTTCCACTGTACAGGAAAGTCAGCCATGAGTGTGTTTCCTAATAACAGAATAGCCAGCTGCAGACTCTGTCATAGATGAAGCGGTACATTTTTAGCTTTGTCTATAAACTATTTTGGAAAAAAAAAAAAAAAGCACCAAGAAGGAGTTTTGCAATTGTGACGAAATTTAATATGCAAAAACATCTTGATCTGACATGCAAATGATCAAAGTTTCAAGGCAAATGAACAGGAATTGTGATTATAGCGCTGGGTGGTCATACCGAGCAATAAGCCGCCGCCACCTGTAGCGTACTGATACTCCTGTGCAAAGATGTTGGCAGCAATGGTTGTTACAATAATGAAATTAAGGGCTCTGGATGGAGGGCTATGGAGTCAGCATCGGAATCGGGCAGATTTTGGGGTAAAAGGAGTCGGAGTCACTAAAAACAGGTCAACTCCAAATCCATTTTTTGTGGGACAGTTTGAATTTGAAATGAAATTAAAATGAATTGAAAAAGTTAATAACAAGCTGAGTTATTATTTTTATTTATGGATTGTATACATTAATAAATAGTTATTTTCCATTTTATTGACATATTAATAAATAAATATAAGGGAGGAAGATGGATCTGATATTTGCCATTAATGATTAAACTGTTTCATCTAGTTACAAATCTCACTGGTAAATTTATAGCAGCAAGAACTCCCAAAATTGATGCCATTCTTAGGAAGCGAGCAGGAAAAGGAGCAATTATTGATCGAACAATGCAATAAGGAAGTACATATTTGATGATAAAGAGGTTTTTAAAATTAAGAACTTTTTTAGAAGATGTAAATAACCCTAATGTTTCACTAACAGAAAGACTAGAATGATCTTGAAAAATTGGAAACTATTCTTTCTACACCATATATAGCCACAAAAAAGCTGCAATCTGAAGAATTGACAGGAGGCGAGAATGGAAGAATGGGATGTTTGTTCTTTCTGAAATGGAGGGTTTATTGCAGAAGGAATAATTTCTTCAATGAAGAAAAGAGAAACTAGTTTGCTAGACAATAAGATCTTAAACACGGAATTTTCTTGGATGATGAACAAATTAAAAAGGCAAAGAAAGCCATCTGTGAACTTTCAATAAGAATGAAATTATTCTCAGAACAATGAGTATTCAGATCAGGACAGTAAAACTGCAGACATTGCAACTTGGTCTCTATCATTAGATTTTGAGAAATATTTGGATAATATTGAAAAGGGTAAGGAGCAAATGAAAATAAAGAACCAAGTGCCTTTAGATATAAAAATGAAAAAATACAAACAAGATTTCTACACGGCCTCTGAAGAAATAGAGAAATAGGATTGCACTTGCAAGACACTTCTTTTAGATCTTATAAAAATCTATCCTGAAAAGTTAAAAGAAGTAGCTCTAACAGTAACAGCTTTTCCACCTATTCAAGTCAGTGTGGAAAGAGACTTTCTAAAGTTTATCAAATCGGATCTATGGCCCTCTAACTAAGAAGATCTTGCCAAAGCCAACTGTTCATAGAAAAATATAGTGGGAAATTGCTATGCCATCAATTTTTTCTGTAGCTTCTATTATAAGGTAAAGCAAAATAAAGAACAAGTGCTTTAATAAAAGCTAAAAAAATAAATAACATGCCCTCAGGCCTTGTTCTGTAAGCTTCTACACTTCTTTTAAAAAAAAATCATGCAAAACAAGAAAATTTCAAACAGGACGCTTCCTAAAGTCATTTAATGCTTTCTAAATTTATTCAAATCGGAGGGGGGGGGGGGGGGGGGGGGGGGGGGGGGGGGGGGGGGGGGGGGGGGGGGGGGGGGGGGGGGGGGTGGGGGGGTGGGGGGGTGGGGGGGGGGGGGGGGTGGGGTTGGGGGGGGGGGGGGGGGGGGGGGGGGGGGGGGGGGGGGGGGGGGTGGGGGGGGGGGCGGGGGGGGGGGGGGGGGGGGTGGGGGGGGGGGGGGGGGGGGGGGGGGGGGGGGTGGGGGGGTGGGGGGGGGGGGGGGGGGGGGGGGTGGGGGTGGGTGGTGGGGGGGGGGGGGGGGGGGGTGTGGGGGGGGGGGTGGGGGGGGGGTGGGGGGGGGTGGGGGGGGGGGGGGGTGGGGGGGGGGGGGTGGGGGGGGGGTGGGGGGGGGGGGTGGGGGGGGGGGGGGGGGGGGGGGGGGGGGGGGGGGGTGGGGGGGGGGGGGGGGGGAGGGGGGGGGGGGGGGTGGGGGGGGGTGGGGGGGGGGGGGGGTGTGGGGGGAGTGGGGGGGGTATGGCCCTCTAATAAGAAACCAAAGTGTTTCATAGAAATAATATTGCCAGTCCATTTAAAATGCTTAAAAACCTCGTAGAATATTAAAAAAAAAGCTGTAATCCATGTGCATATTTAATATATAAATTAACTTCTCTATCGTAAAAAGAATATTAAAGTTATAAAAAGAAATTTAATGCAAAATAAATGGTTATTATGTTGCGAACTCTTACATATCTTTATTCGGAGAGCATACGTAAATCAAGTGCAAGTATTACTAACTGGAATTTAAATGGTATTGCTAATTAATTCACTAAATAATATGTATTAACAGATAATCAACTAAGTGTAATTACAATTATAATAAAGAAACCAAACTATGTTAGAACTTGAAAATTGCATTTTGAAGAAGGAAAAAAAAAAAAAAAAAAAGATAAAGAGAAGCAAATAGGTAATTAGCACTAAAAACTGCTAAGTACAAACAAAAATTGCTTCAAAAGAATAAAGAAGTTAAATTTAATTTTAAATAATTCTGCAGCATTGCCAGGAATGAAATTTGAATTTAACAAAATTCTCTATCGTAAAACAATTAAGTTAATAAATTTAATGAAGTTATGCAAAAAATAAATAATTAATTATTGTTGCGAACAATCTCCAATCATTACATTCTGAGCAATTTTGTTTACATATATATCTAATTATATATATGAGGAAGTCTGAGTTTTTAAATTTCCAGGAGTCAGAGTCGGTCATTTTCCCTACCGACTCCACAGCCCTAAGGCCAAAGAGCAGAAATGTGAGGTAAGATAAGATGATTGTTTGCCAGGCCTGAACCACTCCCACGGTATCATTGTCGGCTATTTAATGTACTGCAGCCACATCTATACCTTCCATGGTACCATCCACCATCTCATGTTGTTTGTCGGAACTTTGTTAGTAATTCAACTAAGTATAATAAGATGCACACCACAACCAAAAAAAAAAAAATCTTCCCCAATTAGTTCTTTAAAACGATGTTTATTGTCATTTGATGTAACTAGATATACTATATTCATACAAACAATATATTTACATATATTGTTTTTATATGTAATATATGTTTGTATTGTTTGTATAATTACAATGTACAATGAAAGTTGTATGTATGTTCAAGTACTTATGTTATATTAATCTGCCATAATCCAACTTTTGTTAATAGATCAATTTCTTTGTAATAATTGTAGTGTCTCTGTAATTGTATATTCAATACGTAAGTCTAGTATTAATGTAAAATTTCTATGTAAAAGTCTTGGTAGACTAGCATCCGATGCGGGCCAAATAAAAGCCCAGCGGGGTACAGTAGTGCGGCGGAGCAACACCTGTAAAAGTCACTGACCAAGTTATGGTGCTCCGTCCACTTTTCACTGTCCCTGTTGTTTGTCGGAAACGGGGTTACATTCACAGAGGCCTTAAAGACATTTGCCTTTGACCCCACAACATCAGCAGAGTCGTCTGGAGTGGTGTTGCAGCCGATCATCTTGGTTGCCATTAGATTGGCATCGTATAGTGTTCAGCGATGAATCCCGCTTCACTCTTGAAGCAGATGACTGCCATGTTCGTGATGGGAGAGGACGGGGCCAGCGGATAACCCCTAGTGTGATGGTGTGGGGTGCTATTTTCTTATGACAGCAGGTCATCTTTTTAGTCATTCTTATAGTACATCTTTAACAGCTCAACGATATGTTGATACCATCCTGTGGCTGATTGCATTATCTTTCATGGCACGTCATCCTGGGGCCATTTTCCAACAAGATAATGCCAGGCCACATACTTCTCACATATCTCTGGATTGTCTCCATGTGGTTGATACTCTTCCTTGGCCGCAAGGTCACCAGACCTTTCACCAATCGAGCATGTCTAGGACATCGTAGGCCGCCAGATTCAGGCACCACAAAATATCGCAGATCTGGAGCGACAGCTGATGAACGCCAGGCAGAATGTGTCTCAGAATGAGATTAGGAACCTCTACCACTTCTTGCCTCGATGAATTCAAGCATGCATTGCCACCAGGGGCGGTTCGACCAACTACTAATTTGAATACTCGGGTGATTGTGAGCCATGAACAGGTACTATGACCCTGATTTTTTAATCATTTTATTATCTGTGTATGAGCTGTACACATTTTCAATTTCATCAAAAACAACTACTTCCTTCATGGTGCTTCGATGTTTTTGCAAGAAAATGTATATATAAATATTTTTTTTTATTTCTGGCTTATGTGTGCATGCATTTTTATCACTGTGATTTAAAAATGTGATTTTGGAGTTTTCAGTGAGAATCAGAGTTACATATAAACAAGTGCTTCTTAGTTTATTTTATTTTTCAAACTATGTAATAAAAAGATTAATAAGTTGTCTGTTATATTATTAATATGTGTAGATTAAATGTTTACTAAAAATGCTGCTTTTTTAAGTAATTGTTTCCTGATGCATTGACACTATAGAAAAACTATTTTTTGGAACAATAAAAATGTCTTACATGTATCACTATGTGTAGACACTTGCATTGTTTTAATTGCCTACTTATTTATAATTAATTACTTTAGTCATCCATAGAGCAAATAAGACTTTTCAAATATTAAACTTTGCTTTTTGTATTTTTACTCATTTGCATATATTTCTCTCCATTTTCATTAATTTTTATTTTAGTCCTTTAGATTTGGACCTGAAATTGCATATATTGCTTCATGCTGTTTAGAGTATTTAAGACGCTATACTACAGAAACACTTGTTGGAAATACTAAACCCTGTGAGTTTCATGTTTTCTTTAATGTACTAGCATAGTTATAACAACTTCCTTAAAAGAATAATATTTGGTCCTTTTTTAATAGCTTACGTTAATGGTGAAGTTGAAGGACAGTATGCAGTTATAGCCAGAAGCAATTCGGAGTTACTTGAACAAGTTATCAGACTGTGCTGTACAAAGCAGAGAAGAAGCTTTGAACCTCTTGAAATTCATGGTGCTTTTGCTGGTGTAAGTTTACAGTTAAACTATTGATCTTGATTTAGAATTTGACAGTTTAATGCTGCTTGTTTTAGAGATAGTTAAAGCTAATAACCATAAGAAATAATTATGTGAGCCTCATTCGTTCAAGATCATATTTAAGGATAAATTCATTGTCTGATCTTTAAGTGAAATTTTATAGAATACTGAGTCTAAAATCCTGACTTCCAATTTCCAGCATAATCTAATATCTGCATCTTCCCCCGGGGTGGACACTACACCTATGGGCTAGGGATATGCAGTGTAGCCAGTAACAGTGCATTGATTACTTTTATATAGATGTTGGCCAGAGTCACATTTTTGGCCCTTGAGTGGTTATGATGGAGTGGTAGCAGGAGAAGCACTATGCATTTTGCCAGCTGGTGCAATCTTTGTAGATCCTAAATTTTTGTTGCCTGGTATCTCCTTAAATTCTAAAAATATTGTTGCGTTGAAATTCTGCTGCCCAGTACTTCTAAGTTCTAACAGTTGTGTCATCCCTAACTTCTGCTGCTCGATGCTCTTTTAAATTCTAAAATTTTTGCTGCCTGGCACCAGCTTTGTTGCAGGTTTAGCATTCCTTTATCTGACCTAATCAATAAGAGAAACACGAGGGTTACCATGTCTACATGCCATTTTACTAGATTTAAACTCTTAATCTAAAATCCAGAATTGTTAAAGTCCTGATAATTATGGATCTCAGACTTTATAAGATGAAAATAGCATCATATTATGAATATCCTAAAGAATATACGGTACAAAGTCTGAAATTCAGATGTTGAGTATCTCATCACTAATTAAGTTTTGATACTGAATCAGGGTTCGTAGCGGTCCTTATAAGTGCTTATAAGTCCTTATATTTGAAAATAAAATATAAAGGCCCTTATAGGTGCTTATTTTTTCTTTAAAGCCCTTATGTTTTTGTTTTTAGTGCTTATTTTTTTGCTTTTAAAGATTTTTTTTTTTTTTTTTAAATGAATGCGCAATTTCCCCCCGTGCCAAAGCCAAAACTAAATAAACAACTTTTCTTCCTAATATGGAATGTCAGATGGTGAATCGTACTTCCGGAAATAGCTTTTCCCCCTTTCTTTGCATTAACATAAGCTTTGGTGTGTGCAGAGAGTACAGACAGGTGCTCGTCGTTCTATTGGGCAAAGAATTGCGAAAGTGGTAGAAAATTCCGGTACATTCGGGCATTCTTTTCCTCCCACCCAAATACTACCACGTTTGAATTTCTATCAAGATCTTAATAATTTGCATTCTCGTTCCACTTGGTCAGTTCATATTCGTGTTTATTATGATCGTTATGCTTATATTATGAGCATATGTATGAATGTTTATAATAACATAGTTGCAGTAACTGCTGAAGTATAGTAAACTTCCAAAAATGGTTGTGTTTTAACACAGATTAGCTTTCTAAGGAATAATATTCGGAATGGCTTAAATAAAGGGAAAGTAATCGAACAGTCAAAATAATTTAATTTTTTTGGCCAATACATCATACAGTACGAAGGTTGGGAGGTTCTCCCCTTTTTCCGCAAAATCTCGAATATTGAAACCGTTACACTTCGCAGCAAAGCAAAGCAACGGACTTTTTTTTTTTTTTTTTTTTTTTTTGTTGTTACTTTCCAATCTGGATTGAATAGGACTAAAATTTCTGCAGTCTACCAACCTAAGCAAAGAATATTTCTGTTCCAGGAAATTTAACACAGTCTGTTCAAAAGTTAGAATGGAAAACCCCCCATTTTGGTAAGCCTCTAAGTTCTTTTCCTTTATTTAGTTATATATTCTGCCAATACCGCAGCAGATCTGGATTCCGATTGCATAATATCACGTAGTGGAAGAATTAACGGTGCCTGTGTATTGCGCAAGTAATGTTTTGATATTTTGCAGAGATAATAATTTTGATGTTCAGTCTGAGATTTGTTTATGAACACTTAAAAGGAGTTTTACTGTGCTTGCTAAGCAGAATATTTTTCAGTTCCGTTATATTATTATTTTTATATGATGCACATATCGAAATGTCAAAAGCATTTATTTAGCCGAAAAATCTAAAGAACGGCTACAATCTGCCCGCCTCTTTTTCCAGCTTCTCTCTTTCCAAGTTTCGCTCGATACTGTCCAGAATATTTGCCAATTTCCAAGTATGCGGGTTAGTTAAGCTTTTACTGTTAAAGGATGACTGCATGAAGCAATTTCCCGTCTTCTGATTTCAGAAATGTTCCTTTTTCTTTTACTTATTTTTTCTTAAATTACTTTGCTTGCAATATCTGTTAAGGAAGAAAACTGGATACACAATGAAAATTTATAAAATATTTCAGAATTTTGATTTAAATTCATTTAAATATTCAATATTGAGTGGAAAAATAAATTGTACTTATTTTTAAGGTTGCCAAGTGAATATAATAAATATGGTTTATTATTATTTATTTTCCTCTATTTTTGAACTGAAATTTCATCATTAAATCTTGTAATATAGTTTTGTTCTGCATAGTTTTTTTTCCTCTCATTGTAAACTAGTTCTGTAAATTTAACTGTTATTTAAAATTTAAAAAAAAAGTAATTATTTTTCATGGTTGAGGTAATGATTATTCTCTTTTAATAAATACTGCATTTCTCATATTTTAAATTACAAGTCTAGTTTTTAAGGTTATGTAGTTGTGTATAATGTAATTAGACAGGTGCTTATTTTTTTTCTTAAAATGTGCTTGATAAGTGCTTAAAATTCTTATTTTTTTAACTAAAATGTGGCTATGAACCGTGTGAATGCAACTTACTTGCTTTTTGGCTTAGACTGCAGCTAGCTGCTTCTCTTTTTACTACAAAGCTATAAAAAATGCAGACGTTTTCAAATAGGCACAAGTAGAGTGCCAAGTTGTTTGTGGCTCCAACATGTTTACTTAAATAAACATGAAGTTTTAATCTGCTTTGACTGCCAGATTGATCTTAATTATAGATTTACAATCTATAATTCCACACCATCAATATTTCTACATATCTCTGTAATGAATTTTCTACAACATCAGTACTTCTAGGTTTGCTTCATTACTTATATATTGTAAAATGATGCTGTCTTTCACAGCTAAACATGTTTTGCATAGAGTTCAAATTCACTCATATCTTTTGTATCATTTATAAAATTTCTAAATGTATGTTCTTTATTTTGTGATATACATGTATAAATGTGCAAGACCATTGCTGAAATGGAAAACTGGATTTATACAGAATGGAATTTTTGCTGGGAGTCATCTAATAATAAAAAAGCGTTAAGGGAAAATATAAAGTTAAACAAGATGAATATTATAAATAATGTTGATGTAAATCAGGTACTGACTAATCATGGGCTATTCCCGGCTTAATTTAATCGGTTCCATCTACAGAATAATGATAAATGCTTAATATGTGATAAGTTTGGGGATGCTAGGCATTTCGTCGATGAATGTACGCTTACCCAGAGTGCAAGAGAGAAATATAGATAGAATTTAAAGGAAGATTTTAAAAGGTACTATTCAAATTTGAAAGAATTTGCAGAGACAATAATGAAGATTATGAATACAAACAAAGATATAATTGGAATTCGGCACTGAGACTCAGATTTTGAACTTTATATGTTTTTTCTTATATTTTTTTTTTTCTCTCCAGTCCCATTTTTTTATCATATCATCGGCTTGTGCTGGCTAGGAGGATCAGGGCTGTGCCCTTATAATGATAATGATATAATTTGTAGTATTAAATATTATATGTAGAAATGACTTCAAATGTTTTGAGTAATTTCTTATATTGTTAAATACAAATTCAACACCCTCTTTTTATCTTAACTGAAGAATTCTAAATTTCAGGGAATCCGAAGTTATGCGCTGGATCAGATTTTGGATATTTTAAATTTGCATGGAAAAACTTTTGATAAAAAAGGTAATGCATAGTTAATAATTTTTTATTTTTATTTATGCTTTCATTTGTTAATTAAATATTTTGTATTCTTAAGTATACATGACCCAATTGTGCAGTGCCTAGTGTGTTGTGCAATGGCACCACACGTCTGGGTGTGATACCAGGGGTGGGCAAGGAGTACTAAATTTGCTTGGGGAATAAACACTTGGGGCAGGGAAGCTAAAGCTGCGATGTGGGCAAGGTTGACTCAGCCTTTCATTCCGTGAATGGGTCAATAAAATGAGTACCAAGTTCGCTTGGGGACTAAACACTGGGGTTCCTGCAACAAGCTTACCACTTGTCCAGGACATATGCTCATTCCCCCCGGGAGGCCCACGGTCAGGAAAGCAGATATTGGAGCACCAATATGTTTTTTGTGGCCCTAACATCTATAGCCCACTAGGACTGTTGCGCCACTTCGTTTAGTTTAAGTAAACATGAAATTACGAGGATTGGAACTTTAATAGTGGCAGCACAGCTGAAAAAACGCTACGCAACAAAACCAAAGAATATCGCATATACCACGCGTAAACTACAGCAAACAGCTTACCTCTCAGCAAAAGGACTCGTCTTGCCTACGTCATGCGCATGCGGAGTTACGCAAAGAACGGATCCTTGTATTAGCTCGTGGTCTAAAGTAAGTGTTGTCAGGATGCTTTCAAACAAGAACAACGATGTTGGATAAAAATTGAATGTGCCAGAGGTCGTACAGCACGACAGTGTCATCAAGGGCTTCAAGAGGCTTGCGGGGAATCTGCATTGCCTTACAGAACCATAGCAAGATGGGTGAAAGCATTCAATGAAAAATGCGAAAACGTGGCAGACATGCTGCGGCCAGGTTGTCCGAGTGTCAGCGATGCAGACGTGCAAGCTGTTGCCGCACCAATGGACAGTGATCGCCGCCAAGCGATTCGTCAGCTGGCCGGACAAACAGGATTAGTGCATGCGACTGTGCTGCACATTCTGAAGGAACGCCTGTCCATGAGAAAAATTGCTTCACGATGGGTTCCACATCAATTGACGGAAATCCAGAAATGGCTACGATATGATGCTGCCTGAACCCACCTGGAGCGCTGTGAGCACGAAGGAGATGCTTTTTTACGCCGTATCATTATGCTGGATGAGACTTGGGCCCGATCGTACCAGCCAGAACTGAAACGCCAATCAAATTAATGGCATCATCACGGGTCACCACAACGTTTGAAATTTCGTCAGAACCCAGCAATGTGAAAGTTAGGGTGATTCTCGTGTACGTCTGTGATGGTGTCATTCTAACGCATACCGTTCCCCCACAGCAGACCGTCACTGCGCAGTATTACTGCTCATTTTTGGAGCACAATCTCCGACCAGTTTTGAGAAAAAAACGGCGACACTTTCTGCAGAACGCTCCTCTCATTTTGCATGACAATGCTCGGCCGCATGCAGCGCAAGCTGTGACTGATTTGTTCAAGCGATGGGGCTGGGAAGTGCTTTACCTTCCACCATACTTCCCAGATCTAAGCCCTTGTGACTATGACTTAATTCCTAAGATGAAGGAACCACTTCGTGCACTCGCTTCCAAACTGTTCCTGAGATTCTTGCGGCAGTAGACCGGTCCATTCAAACTATATCAACAAAGCAGGCGCTGCTACAGGTATTCTGCGACTTCCACATCGTTGGAAACGGGTTGTACACAATGCTGGCGACTATATTGAAGGACTGTAAAACATGGTGACATGAATCACTTTTGTATTTCTTGTAAATAATTCCACTATTAAAGTTCCAATGCTCGTAATTACCCTGTTGGTGATGAAAAAATTAGGTTAGATCAATTAAATTTTAAACACTTGAGTTAAAACTTCATCCAGTTTCAGAGTAGTTCTCTTCTGCACTTGTAATTGATGTCAATATTGCATTAATTAGAATGCATCGAAGGAGTTTTTTTTTTTTTTTTTTTTTTTTAAAGTCCAAAGGGACAATTTTCCCAGAAGGATTATTAATTTCGTTTTCGCATTTTGCGTTGGTTCACTATAAATGTTGGTTCACTTTTCAAATTTTTGCCACCAAAAATTAGAGCCATACTACCGCTCTGTATTATATTTAATGAAATTAAATAATGAAGAATCTGCATAAATGTATGCATGTTTCTCGCATTGTGATAAAACAACAGTACCTAGAGCCATCAATTTTGAGTATTGAATGTTTCCACCCGAATATGGGCATCTGGAATCCCAAATTTGGAATTTTTTTATTATCTATTTCATATTTTGTAAAGCGTTTATTAATTTCTGATTAAGAAACCGAATGATTTCAAAGTGAGCAATGGCAACACTGTACCGAGGGGGGGGGGACATTTTTATCTCCAGAGCGCGAGACTGTATTGGAAATTCTAAAGCTATGCTCATTTAAAATTTTTTTTTATGATATTGCTGCTGAACTGAATTTTAATGGTTTAAGTACGAATAACAGGATATTTGATAAATAAAAGTAACACACAAAACATAAGCCCCTTGGGCTTGATGTAAAATTGGAAACCTTTCATGTTTTTTATTATTATTTATTATTATTATTATTATTATTTTATTTATTTATTTATTTATTTTAAGAACAGCACAATTTGTAATTCGGTCTGAATGTAACTGAGGGAGCTAAAATACTGTGGATTCTTGCAACATAATGATGAAGCTGTCATGTCCCACTATGATGCAGATGATGTTTTTGTGAAAATGATCTTTAACAGGCTTCAAAATATTGAAATAAATGCTTTATTTGCTGTTTGATCTAAAAGGATGAGTTCTTAGTGTATCAATCCCCTTCATATTGGGGAAAAATATTTCAGTGATTTTTCTCATTTTAAGTCTTTGCTTCTTTTCAAAGTCACAAATCAACTTGTGTCAAATTCATAGTAATTGTACTTAATATATTGACTTCTTAGAGAACATCCACACTAAACACTTTAATTCAAAGAATCTGTGAGCATTCTAATCATGTTTTAAGTTCTAAGACATTAAGTGTAAATGGAACAGGGAACTACTTTGAAGAAAACTGAGATCAGATTTAATTGAGGTAAGCTTTCAGAATTATTCAGGAGTAGATACGAGTCCGCTTTGGAATTGAAAGCAATGAAATGGCAGACCTACTTGGAAAAAAGGGCACAGAAAATTTGCAAACATTCACAGAAAAATCACATTGTATAAGTTAAAAGAATCATTAGGAATGTACTGGAGAATAAATATGAAGAAAATTGCTAGATAAAATCAAAAGCAAAAGATGGAAAAGCTTAATTTTTAAGATCCCTGCTGCTTCTAGATCTGTAGCAGTGATGGCTTTTAGACTTGTGATGGGGCATGATTGCTTCACAAAATACCTGTATTGGATAGAAATTTATTATAACCCAAACGGTGTACTACTTATGTAGGATTTAGGTATGGGTTGCACGGAGGGATTTATGTAATTGTTACTAGCAAACCAGAGACCTGATGCAGTGCAGTTTTCCTTATTAAGTTGTTATTGTAATTCTCTGTCTTTTTTATATAAATTCATCCATATTATGTGTTATTCGCTTCAGTTCCATGTATCATTCTGATATATGGGAGCCATACTGTACATCACTTGAAAAAATGCATAATTTTAGTCTATTTGTATGGTCTGTTTTATATATTTGAGTGTCTTTTGAAATGGCATTAAATATATAAATAATCCCCATTCTGTAGAGAAAATACTGAGTATTATTATTGTGTATTCAGAAAAGGAAAATCTGAACTGGATTAAATTTTTCAAATGCATCGCATTTTTGAGAAGTGCAGATAATATGTTATTGAATCTCATCACCACTTCACTGCATTTAAAAACTGCTTTGTTAGAGAAAGCTGCTTAAGAGGTATGAGAGACTTGGATATATCAGAAAAGCTCTAAAAGACACACATCATCTTCCACATTCATTAGACAATCAGCTCCATTCCTCTCCTCTCAAAAGTTTTAAAATCTCAGGTTCCTTACCCCCTTTTTCGACATGATTGTGCTTTATTTTTTTATTTATATTTCTGTTACAGCTGAAGTTTTGTAGCAAGCAATCTTGCTTCTGGGAGAATGTATGAGGATTGTGTCAGATTTTCTTGAAATGCAAGGAATTCTCATGTTGAAACAATGCTGATCTGTGAATAGAGTTTACTTGATTAGACTTTAGAATGATGTACATCTATTTCATTTAATTAGAATTGGAGTTTATTTTGAAAATTATATTTTATAAATGCGATAAAAATTTGTATGCTGAAACTTTTTTTTAAATCTTTTGAGATGAAATTATTAATATTTTAATTATTCAGTTAATTTTTTACTTCCTTGTACGAAGTAAAAAGGAAATATTGTAATCGCGAAAAGTTTCAGGCAGCATATTTCAACGAAAATATCCATTTTGACCGCTATCGAATGCAATTTAACGATGTTTTTGTGTGATATCTGTACATAAGGACAGAATAACAATTTGTCTTTTCCTTCAAAAAAATTATAAAACTGCTTTAAAATTAATTCTGAAGAGAATTTTTCGTGGTGTCTGTACGAACGTATGTATGCACGTGCGTACGTCCATATCTCGCATAACTCAAAAACAAGTAGCCTCAGAACGTTGAAATTTTGTATATAGGACTGCTATAACATGTAGATGTGCACCTCGTATTTTGGTTGCAATCGGCCGCACCAAACGTATATAAATATATTTATATATATATCGACTCTGTTACCCGGCTCGGTGATCTCAGTTTCTTTACTCTTATATGTTTGTAAATTGTACTTTTTTTCTTTTAAAATGATTGAATTATGTTATTTTATCTTCCGGTTAAGGTTTTATGCCTTTCGTAAATCTATATGCAGTATTTGTACAATTATCACAATTTTAAAGCTGTTTAAGTGTAAGCCTTAAATTTTTTGATACAGGCCATTGCTTGTTTACATTTGAAACAGCAGAATTAGTAGATTTGTTGCCGATCTAGAGAGACTAGCTTCAC